AAGCAGCTAAAACTACAAGCAGCTAAAACTACGACAAGCAGCTAAAACTTCGACAAGCAGCTAAAACTTCGACAAGCAGCTAAAACTAAAACAAGCAGCTAAAACTACGGCAAGCAGCTAAAACTACGACAAGCAGCTACACCTACAGCAAGCAGCTACACCTACAGCAAGCAGCTAAAACTGCAGCAAGCAGCTAAAATTACGACAAGCAACTAAAACTACAGCAAGCAGCTACAACTACGACAAGCAGCTAAAATTACAACAAGCAGCTAAAGCGAACACAGCTAACATTTTTATATCAGCTAAAAGTAACATAACAGAAGCTGAAGTCTTAATTAACATAATAGCAGTCTTTGTCCACACATTGGTCACAAAGATCAGATCTGTCTCTTCGTCCTCTGTCCTCCTGTCTCAGGGTCACGTGATGGCCAAGAGGATCTTTGACACCTACTCCCCCCACGAGGACGAGGCCATGATCCTCTTCCTCAACATGGTGACCCGGGGACGTGTCCTCATCTTCACCATCAAGGTGAGTCCGTCTGCGGTTCCATCTGAGCGTCTTGAGTTCTGCTCCAACTGAGCAGGGGACGTGTGGTTCTGTTCTGCAGGACGAGGGGACGTTCCACCTGAAGGACGCGGCCAGGAACCTGCTGAAGACACTGGGCAGCCAGGTGTCCCTCGGTCTCAGCTGGAGGGACATGTGGACCCTGGTGGTGAAGAAAGGAGGTTGGACCCGTCTTGGTTCCGTCCTCTCAGATTAAAGGACAAGTTCCAACATTTAACCGTTTGTCTTCAGGTCAGGTCTACGGCGAGAGACACTCCCAGTCCCCAGCTCTGTCCACCTGGGGCGACCCGGTTCTGCTGAAGACCGAGGTACAGCTCACCGCCGCTGAAGGTACGAGTCCTGCAGCCAACCCTGGAGCTTGGTTCTGAGCGGATCCAGATCAGAGTCAGAACTTTCTTCTCATGAGGTTCTGTTGGGTCTGCAGAGGCCGAGTGCCACTGGGCCGACACCGAGCTGAACCGGAGGAGGAAGCTCTTCTGCAGCAAAGTGGAGGGGTACGGGAGCATCTGCAGCTGCAAAGACCCGGCGCCGATCGAGTTCAACCCCGACCCGGTAAGCACCGCTGCAGGTTCTGGTGCAGTCCTCCTGATAACGGGCTCTGAGCGGACCCTCCCTCTGTTTGTGTCTGCAGCTTCCCAACAACAACGTCTTTAATGTTCCGGTGGCGGTCATCGCAGGAAACAGACCCAACTACCTGTACCGGTGAGACCAGAACCAGAACCACCTCCTTTACTTTCCTCAGGGATCAGCGTCCCATCGGTTCTGCTCAGAAAAACCCACAGGTTCTGTTGAGGCTTTTGATTGACAGCTCTCTGAGCCAATGGGAGCCTTCGTGTGGGGTCCACTGAGAGCTGATTAGTCTTCAGGTTCTGGACCGGGACTGGGTCTCAGGTTGTGGTTCTGATGGGGTTTCTTTACAGGGTCTGGAGCTCAGTCCCAGAACCACTTAGAACCAGAACCAAAACTTTCAGCTCTCAGGTTGCTCTGTAAACTTGGAGTTCCCAGTCTGTAGAGAACCTGGAGGTGGTTCTGGTTCCCCCTCTGTAGAGAACCTGGTTCTGGTTCTTCAAAACCGACCTCTGACCTGGTGCTCTGTGACAGGATGCTGCGGTCGCTGCTCTCGGCTCACGGCGTCAACCCTCAGGTGGTCACCGTCTTCATCGACGGCTACTACGAGGTACCGGTCCATTGTTCGGTGTCGGTGTGGTTCTGGAGCAGCCCGGGTTCTGTTGTTTAACGGGCCGGGTCGTGTTTGTCCCTCTGATCCAGGAGCCGATGGACGTGGTGGAGCTGTTTGGACTGAAGGGGGTCCAGCACACCCCCATCAGCATCAAGAACGCCCGCGTGTCTCAGGTGAGCCAGATTATCAGAAATGACCTGTTAGTTGTTTAATCTGTGGGATTATTAATCTGTCCTGCTGGGTCCAGCACTACAAGGCCAGTCTGACCGGGACCTTTAACCTTCACCCTGTAAGTGTCAGAACCTGCTGGTACCGAACGATCAGTGGACGGTTCTGCTCCCATCTCACCGGTTCTGTTTCTTTCTGATCAGGACGCAAACTTCGCCATCGTCCTGGAAGAAGACCTGGATGTCTCTGTGGACTTCTTCAGGTGGGTCCAACTGTTACTTTTGATGAGGACATGTCTTTTATCCCCCACATTAAAAACGTTACTAGAACCTCCTTCTTCCACCTGCGTAATATCACTAACATTAGAAACATCTGATCTAAAGATGATGCAGAAAAACTGGTCCATGCATTTGTCACGTCTAGACTGGACTATTGCAATGGTTTATTATCTGGGTGTCCAAATACTTCTTTAAAACGTCTTCAGTTGATCCAAAATGCTGCTGCCAGAGTCTTAACTGGAGTTACTGGGAGAGATCAT